TCTCTCACCACTCTCTTCACCTTTTTTTTTTACTCTCCATATACTTTGCTCTTCCTATAACACTTCTGCTTTGTGAAAACCTCTCATAAGCTACCTTTTTCTCTTTTATTACACCCTCTACTTTATCATTCCACCAATCACTCCTCTTTTCTCCTGCACCCACCCTCCTATAACCACAAACTTCTGCCCCTCATTCTAATACTGCATTTTTAAAACTATTCCAACCCTCTTCAACCCCCCACCCGACTACTCATACTTGCACTAGCCCACCTTTCTGCCAATAGTTGTAAAGTAGAAGGACACAAGTGCAAATAATGTGACATTTTATTGTGGCCACAATAAAATGTCACATTAGTTGCACTTGTGTCCTTATACTTTACATATTGTCGGTAATTCTACCAACTTTATTACAATCTGCCAATAGTTGCTTATATCTCACCCTAACTTCTTTGTCGCTTAGTTTATACACTTTCACCTCTCTCTTACTTGTTGTTGCCATTTTTCCTTTTGCCCCATCTACCTTTTACTCTATAGCTACAACTAAATAATGATCCAATATATCAGTTGCCCCTCTATAAATATGTACATCCTGAAGCCTACCCATCAACCTTTTATTCACCAACACATACATAATCTAGCAAATTACTTTCATTATGTGCTATATCATGCCTTGTATACTTATTTATCCTCTTTTTCATAATATGTGTATTACTTATTACCAAACCTCTTTCTACACATAGTTCAATTAAAGGCTCCCCAATTTCATTTACCCCTGGCACCCTAAATTTACCTACTACTCCCTCCACAACATTTTTACCCACTTTAGCATTGAAATCCCCAACCACAAGTACTCTCATACTTGGTTCAAAACTCCCCACGTACTCATTCAACATTTCCCAAAATCTCTCTCCTCTACACTTCTCTCTTCTCCAGGTGAATAAATGCTTACTATAACCCACTTTTCACATCCAACCCTTATTTTACTCCACATAATCCTTGAATTAATACATTTATATTCCCTCTTTTCCTGCCATAACTTATCCTTCAACATTATTGCTGCTCCTTTTTTTTAGCTCTAACTCTATTTGAAACCCTTGACCTAATCCCATTTATTTCTCCCCACTGAAGCTCTTCCACCCCCTTCAGCTTTGTTTCACTTAAAGCCAGGACATCCAGCTTCTTCTCATTCGTAATATCCACAATCATCTCTTTCATATGATTCGCAGAACATCCATGCACATTCAAACATCTCACTTTGACGGTTTTCCTCTTTTTGTTTTTAGTAGGCTATACAGGAAAAGGGGTTACTAGCCCATTGTTCCTGGCATTTTAGTTGACTTTCACAACACGCATGGCTTATGGAGGAAAGATTCTTATTCCACTTCCACATGGATACAAAAGGAAAAGAAATAAGGACAAGAACTATTAAGATAAAATCAAAGAAAACTCAGATGAGTGCATATACATAAATGTGCACATATATGTGTAGTGTGACCTAAGTGTAAGTAGAGGTAGCAAGATATGCCTGAAATCTTGCATGTTTATGAGACAGACAAAAGACACCAGCAATCTTACCATCATGTAAAACAATTACAGGCTTTCGTTTTACACTCACTTGGCAGGACGGTAGTACCTCCCTGGGCGGTTGCTGTTTACTAACCTACAACCTATTAATATTGTGTATAAACTGTTAAAAGGGAATTATATAAATTTTACTTACAGTTGCTATAGTCTTAAGTTTTGGCCAAAATTGTATGCAGCCTATAGGCCTAAAGATTATTGTATGTTTTGTATGGTAATTTTGAAGATAAAATTTTTTTGTTATGCTGATGATCAACAACAAGTTATTCTTATTAAATATATACAGTCATAAACAAATTAAATTATTAATTATCACTGAAAAAAATTATTTATTATTTATAGTGTCCCACTCCTGATAGAAAGTGTCAAAACTGGAACACTATAAACCAGTACTTGAATGCTAAGTGCTTATAATAGTAGCTAACTGCATAAAAAAATACTACTTAATAGTCAGTGTCTAATTCTTAAGTAGTCTTTAAGCATTAGGATTAGTTTGCCTGAATTGTCTTGCATAATATAATAATAATAATAATGATAATAATACTGTAATAATCTTTATTTCTACAAGTACATGTACAAGGTATACAGGCCTAGCTGACATTAATGACATACTACTGTAGAGGAAGCTCCTGGTTATGCAGAAACACGTCCTAATGTTTCCACCCATACCAGGGATTGACCCCTCAGACCTCAGTGTGTGAGCAGAGTGCGCTACCAATCGAGCTATGTGCTGTGTGGCTATCTTGTGTATCTACCACTGTTTTGTTACATGTAAACTATGTTATCTTTATACAGTATTAAAATAAATAAAATTTGTTTAACCATATGCAAGCTGTGTGGTAGCTGACCACTAAACTGAGGTACTGGTTGTATAGTGATTGTTGGGGTTTACAGGACTACATTTTACTAGATTGATCAAGACTGTTGGATAACATTTGGAAAGATGAATAACTGATCACTGGATAATAGATGTTTACTGTATTTTCTTCAGGATTGTTTAATTACTTTTTCCTAGAGGGTATAGATAGTTTATAATTAAGATAATCTGCTTATAGGCTTAGCTTAGCAGACAGATGGAGGTAGTGGATAGATGGTAATGGTGATTATGGTAGATAGATGAGATTGTTTTGTTGTGTTGTTATTGTGTTAGTGTTGTGATCTCTGCAATAATGGACAATTTTGTAACTAACGAATTTTGTCTGTTGATTCCGAATTAAATGACCCAATAGATTTTGTTCCATATTTTTGATACTTCTTATATGAAGGTGTATTAAATTGAAGATTTGGCTGATTTCATAGGACTGAAAAATTACCTGGGTAGGCTGAACTGGAATGACCTGACTATGGGTCAGGTAGGTGGTGATGGTTGCCGATATGACGTTTTCCAGAGCATAGTTCCAGCTGCTCTGACAACTTATGTTCCAAATAGGGAAGTCAGATCAAACAAAAATGATCCTAAATGGATGAACAATAGATTAAAACATCTCATTGATCGAAAGAGAGGCATATATAGGCAAATCAAAAGAGGAGAGGGGCAATATATTCAGTTAAAGAGAGAAATAAAAAAGGGAATAAGAAAAGCAAAAAGAGATTGTGAGGTTAAGGTTGCAAGAGAATCGAAGACTAACCCAAAAGGATTCTTTCAGGTATACAGAAGTAAGACTAAGGACAAGATAGGCCTGCTCAGAAGTCACTTAGGTCAGCTTGCCGACAGTGATAAGGAAATGTGTAGAATTTTTAACAATTACTTCCTCTCAATTTTTACACAAGAAGATACTAGTGATATTCCAGAAATAATAAATTATGTAGAACAGGATAATAATAAACTTTGCACAATTAGGGTCACAAGTGATATGGTCCTTAGACAAATAGATAAAATTAAAACATAAATCCCCAGGCCCTGATGAACTGTATGCAAGGCTTCTAAAGGAATGTAAAGAGGAGCTTAGCAAACCCTCAGCTAACCTTTTCACCATGTCACTACAAACTGGCATGGTGCCAGATAAGTGGAAAATGGCAAATGTGATACCTATTTTCAAAGCAGGTGACAGGTCCTTAGCTTTGAGCTATAGACCAATAAGCCTAACCTCCGTAGTGGGAAAATTTATGGAATCAATAATTTCCGAGGCAGTTTGAAGCCATCTTGCAAAGCATAAATTAATCAACGAATCTCAGCACGGTTTTACAAAGGGACGTTCCTGCCTTACGAATTTATTAACTTTTTTCACTAAGGTATTTGAGGAGGTAGATCATGGTAATGAATATAATGTTGTGTATATGAACTTCAGTAAGGCTTGTGATAGTCACACATCGGAGACTATTGAGGAAAATTAAGGCACACAGAAATCAGAGTGGGGAAGAATCATGAGCGGTGTTCCACAGGGGTCAGTGTTGGGCCCCTTGTTGTTCACAATCTACATAAACGACATAGATGAGGGAATAAATAGTGACATTAGCAAGTTTGCCGATGACACCAAAATAGGCCGTCAAATTCATTCCGATGAGAACATTAGAGCACTCCAGGAAGATTTGAATAGACTGATGCAGTGGTCGGAGAAGTGGTAGATTCAGTTTAATATAGACAAATGCAAAGTTCTAAATGTTGGACAGGAAAAATAACCATGCCACATATAAACTAAATAATGTAGATCTTAATACGTGTATTACTGATTGCAAAAAGGATTTAGGATTTCTGGTTAGCAGTAATCTAAAACCACGACAACAGTGCATGAGTGTTTGCACTAAAGTGAACAGAATTCTTGGCTTCATATTGAGAAGCATAAATAATAGGAGTCCTCAGATTGTTCTTCAACTCTGTATATCCTTGGTTAGGCCTCGTCTAGATTATGCTGCACAGTTTTGGTCACTGTATTACAGAATGGATATAAATGCTCTGGAAAACAAACAAAGGAGGATGACAGAGTTGATCCCATAGATCAGAAATCTTTCCTGTGAGGATAGACTGAGGGCCCTGAATCTGCACTCTCTAAAAATATCTAGCCTAGACAGGACTTGCAGCAATGGCTTTAAACTGGAAAAATTCAGATTCAGGGAGGATATAGGAAAGCACTGGTTTGGTAATAGAGTACAGTTATAGAGGCTAAAACATGTAGTTTTAAAGATAGGTTAGATAAATGCATGAGTGGGTGTGAGTTGGACCTGACTAGCTTGTGCTACTAGGTCAGATGCCGTGCTCCTTCCTTAAGTGAATGTGACCTGACCTGACTAGGTTGGGGCATTGACTTCAGCCGGTAGGAGACTTGGACCTGCCTCGCATGGGCCAGTAGGCCTGCTGCAGTGTTCCTTCTTTCTTATGTTTAACACAGACTTGTCATAGCTCTAGGCTCAGTCAACTTTTTGAGCTGACATCCTGGGTGAGAGTATCAAGTCTTCACATCTCAATGTCATTGTGTTTTCAGCACTTGCAAGCTGTCCATACATCTGCATTCATTCAAGATAAACCAAATGAAGGACCACAGGCCAAATATTTCCCAGCACTAAAGACACCTATGCTACCAAAGGATACTTTTAAAGGCAAAACTGTGTTCATCACTGGTGGTGGGACTGGGCTTGGCAAGGGCATGGCTATGATGCTCAGCTCTCTAGGAGCCAATGTTGTCATTGCTGCAAGGTGAGCACAAACTTTATAAGATTAACAGTTTATTTTAACACACTGGCTGTCTCCCACTGAGGTAGGGTGACCTGAAAAAGAACCACCTTCACCATCATTCACACTACCACTGTCTTGCCAGAGTCATGCAGATATGGGAGTTCAGATGTTCTTCCAAACAACATATATCTCTAACTCCTCCTTTCGAGAACAGGCATTGTATTTCCCACTTTCAGGACTCAAATCTGGCTAACCAGTTTTCCTGAATCCCTTCACAAAATGTTACCTTGCTCACACTCTAACAGCTTGTCACATCCCAAAAACCATTTGCCTCTACTCTTATTCCCAGCCTCCCTGGAAGGTCTCTGTATAACTACCAGATCATATATGTTGTACATGTATATGCTTAGTTCTCCCTGCATATTATATAATACTATACAGTACACAAGTGTGTCACTTGTTCTCTCATTTCTAAATAGTACACAGTTGTTACAAAATCAGAATACATTAATCAATCAAAACTAAGCACTAAACCCTCAAGGGTCATACTACTAAATTAGAAGACTTTTCATTCATACATTTTGGAAAGTCCCAGACCAAAAAAAATTACTGAATGGGAGGGGCTTGAACCCTTGGCAAGTTGGTCTTAAAACTGAGTTTCAGGACACTCTTGCCATGGGTACGAACCCCACCTGTTCCTTGATTTATTTGCAATTGTGTTCTTATGATTTCATGAGTCATGACAAACCCCTTGTTATGAAGAATATTTTAGGCAGACAAAAACTACCACTTAGAACTAAAACTTGACAACGTACAGTTGCATAATTGATGTTTATGTGAATGCTAAGTTAAATATAAATGTTTGAAGAAAAGATTATTAAATGCAATGATTAGTAACAAAAGTTGACTTCAGGCTGAGGGACTGATTACCTCAAATTCCTTCTCATCTTTCACCATTCTTCTCTACTGGACTGAAGAATTCACTTGCTGGTGAAATGTTTCCACAAAGATTCCCAAATGTTTCACAAGTGTCTCATTCTTCAACTTGAGTTGTGTCATACATGGATAAGTCCATAGTTATGTAAGTCATTTTAGGTATGCTCAAGTACATAATAGTAATAATAATTAATAATAATAATAATAATAATAATGAGAATGTTAGTGGGAGATAAGTATCTTAGCTAGTCAAGTACAGCACTAGCAAAGATGTTACAAGGTTATGACTCTTATGATAACTGGTTCAGCTAGGCCAGAGCATAGTTGTGTACAAGATTATAAACTTGTGACAGCTGACTGGGCAAAACCTGATCTAAGACTCTGTTAACAGTGATACAGAGGTTATAACTGAGATACTCCTAGTGTTGTTGTTGTTGTTGTTTATGAAATCTGAACACAAAACAGTTTTTATAGTGCTGAACATTATACTGTTCTATAATTTGTAGAAACTGAGTGTAACGTGTGTGTGTGTGTGTGTGTGTTAGTTACCATTTTTTTGTCCTAGGCACATGTCGATTAGACACTAGGCCTGTTGTAGGTTAGGTGTGTAGGTATGTGTGTGTGTGTGTGTGTGTGTGTGTGTGTGTGTTAGTTACCATTTTGTCCTAGGCACATGTCGATTAGACACTAGGCCTGTTGTAGGTGTGTGTGTGTGTGTGTGTGTGTGTGTGTGTGTGTGTGTGTGTACTCACCTATTTGTGGTTGCAGGGGTCGAGTCACAGCTCCTGGCCCCGCCTCTTCGCTGATTGCTACTAGGTCCTCTCTCTCCCTCCCCCATGAGCTCTATCATACCTCGCCTTAAAACTATGTATGGTTCCTTCCTCCACCACATCACTTTCTAGGCTATTCCATGGCCTGACTACTCTATGACTGAAGAAATACTTCCTAACATCCCTTTGATTCATCTGTGTCTTCAACTTCCAATTGTGACCTCTTGTGTGTGTGTGTGTACTCACCTATTTGTACTCACCTATTTGTGGTTGCAGGGGTCGAGTCCTAGCTCCTGGCCCCGCCTCTTCACCGGTTGCTACTGGGCCCTCTCTCTCCCCGCTCCATGAGCTTTATCAAACCTCGTCTTAAAACTGTGTATGGTTCCTGCCTCCACTACGTCATTTTCTAGGCTATTCCACTGCCTTACAACTCTATGACTGAAGAAATACTTCCTACTATCTCTCTGACTCATTTGTGTCTTCAACTTCCAATTGTGGCCTCTTGTTTCTGTGTCCCCTCCCTGGAACATCCTGTCTTTGTCCACCTTGTCTATTCCACGCAGTATTTTATATGTCGTTATCATGTCTCCCCTGACCCTCCTGTCCTCCAGTGTCGTCAGGCCGATTTCCCTTAATCTTTCTTCATAGGACATTCCCCTTAGCTCTGGAACTAACCTTGTCGCAAACCTTTGTACTTTCTCTAGTTTCTTGACGTGCTTTATCAAGTGCGGGTTCCAAACAGGTGCTGCATACTCCAGTATGGGCCTGACATACACGGTGTACAGTGTCTTGAATGATTCCTTACTAAGGTATCGGAATGCTGTTCTCAGGTTTGCCAGGCGCCCATATGCTGCAGCAGTTATCTGATTGATGTGTGCTTCCGGACACATGCTCGGTGTTATACTCACCCCAAGATCTTTCTCCTTGAGTGAGGTTTGCAGTCTTTGGCCACCTAGCCTATACTCTGTCTGTGGTCTTCTGTGCCCTTCCCCTATCTTCATGACTTTGCATTTGGCAGGATTAAATTCGAGAAGCCATTTGCTGGACCAGGTGTCCAGTCTGTCCAGGTCTCTTTGAAGTCCTGCCTGGTCTTCATCAGATTTAATTCTCCTCATTAACTTCACATCATCTGCAAACAGGGACACTTCTGAATCCAACCCTTCCGTCATGTCGTTCACATATACCAAAAATAGCACTGGTCCTAGGACCGACCCCTGTGGGACCCCGCTCGTCACAGGTGCCCACTGTGATACATCATTACGTACCATGACTCGTTGTTGCCTCCCTGTCAGGTATTCTCTGATCCATTGCAGTGCCCTTCCTGTTATATGCGCCTGATGCTCTAGCTTCTGCACTAATCTCTTGTGAGGAACTGTGTCAAAGGCCTTCTTGCAGTCCAAGAAGATGCAATCAACCCACCCCTCTGTGTGTGTGTGTGTGTGTGTGTGTGTGTGTGTGTTTGTGTGTGTGTGTTTGTGTGTGTAACGATTTCAAGTTTCAATGACCTAAAAATATGTTAATGTTTTTGCAATATGCATTATAACCACTGAAAAAATAATGAATTTCCAAGCATTTCCATGAGTTCTTGCATTATGAAATCATGAAAGCACTTGGAAATTCACTATTTTTTCATAGTGGTTATTTTGCATATTGTGATATCACCTGTTTAACCTTAATTGCATAAATATTTTTCATATATTCAGGCGACTTACAGTACTTGAGGCAACAGCAAGTGAGATTTCCAGTAAGACTGGCAATCAGGTTCTTGCTGTGCAGATGGATGTTCGTGACGCCGCAAATGTAACCGCTGCATTTGACTCGTGCGAAGCTAAATTTGGTCTCCCCAATATTATCATCAATAATGCTGCTGGTAACTTCATATCGGTATGTGGTAAACTTGACATGGTTCTTTTTGTCTTTCAAAATAAACTTTTACTACACATCAGCCACTTCTCTCTCATATTGTTCCATTAATTTTTTCGTTGAATCCTCAGTATATATGATTAATAGGAGATGGGGTGTTTGCTGAATCAAAACTCCTCTGAATTAAAATTTCGAAGTTGATTTTCCACGATTGTAACATAAATGGACAAGTGTCTGATGTAGTAGACTTTTGATCTTTTATATGGAGAGCGATGCCAAACACCTGTGGTACCATACCAGACAGATGTCATGTGCAGCCTACCTACCTGTGTAGTCTACCTACCTGGAGGGTGTTCTGGGGGTCAACACCCCCACGGCTTGGTCCACGGTAGATTCTGGGGAGTCTACCAGATCCACTATAGTACCACCAACACACATACATGCCTCATGGAGCAAACTTAGTTATATTGAGCCTTTGTCCTGCTAAATATTTTGTTCTTTGTAAAAAAAATTGTTACATAGGGGTCTATTACTTTGAAGGTTTACAAACTAACATAAGAAAGAAGGAACACTGCAGCAGGTCTACTGGCCCATGTGAGGTTGGTCCAATTTTCCTACTGGCTTAAGCCAATGCCTTAACCTAGTCAGGTCAGGTCAGGTCACATTCACTTAAGGAAGGAGCATGGCATCTGACCTCGTAGCACAAGCTAGTCAGGTTCAACTCACACCCACTCAAACCCACTCATGTAATTATCTAACCTATATTTAAAACTACACAATGTCTTAGCTTCTATGATGGTACTTGGGAGTTTGTCCCACTCATCCACAACTCGATTACTAAACCAGTGCTTTCCTATATCCTTCTTGAATCTGAATTTTTCCAACTTAAAACCATTGCTGCATGTCCTGTCTAGGCTAGATATTTTTAGCATGCTATTTGCTTCCCCTTTATTCATTTCTGTTTTCCATTTATACACCTCAGTCATATCCCCCCTAATTCTATGCCTTTCTAGAGAGTGCAGATTCAGGGCCCTCAGTCTATCATAGGGAAGATTTCTGATACATGGGATCAACTTTGTCATCCTCCTTTGTATGTTTTTCAGTGCATTTATGTCCATTCTGTAATGCGGTGACCAGAATTGTTCAGCCTAATCTAATTGAGGCTGAACCAAAGATATATAGAGTTGAAGAACAACCTGAGGACTTCTATTATTTATACTTCTTGATGTGAAGCCAAGGATTCTGTTAGCTTTACTGTTGTCTTGGTTTCAAATTACTGCTAACCATCAGCTCATTTCAAAATTTAGCCCTATCTTAAGTATACTACCTCCCCCTCCCCCTGAGAAGCAAGAATAACAGTAAGTTAACACTTAGGTACCTAGTTACTGCTAGGTGAACTAGGAGCAACAGTGTAAGAAAACATTTCCAGTCTCCACCTGCCTGTGATGGAACTCACATCCTTGGGTTGTGAGCTGAGAGTACTACTGTTAGTCAGGAATAATCATGGTACCAATCACAGTGGAATGATGATCTGGTTCAGGACAGCAAAAGAGTTGAGGTTGAACAAATTTAGATTGAACAGTAGTTGTGGTTTAGATGTGTGGTTTTGGAAGAAAACCAAACTGCAGATGGGTCTACACAGATTTCACTAAAGACATTAACAGATATGATCATGGTGTGATGGCCCATAAAACTAAGTCAATAGGTATAGCAGGAAAGGTTGGAAAAATGGATATTTAATTTTCTAACAAATCAGACATGCAGTTGGGTACCAGCTTTTGTTTCTCCACCTACTATGTTTTTGCCTGTTTGCAATTTTTTTTTTTAATTTGTTTCCACCCTTTGCAGAGGCTCTACCCATTTCCAGCTTGTGCTACAACATTGCCAGCCATTGCAGCAGTGCAGGCAGGCCATTTTCTCCTCCTATGTGCCTTGGGACTCCTTTATTTTGTGGTAAACCTAAGTTTGCCTACACCCACACTGTCACCTCCCACCCACACCACCGCCTTGTGGATGCCTACCATAAAATTACTCTTGCCTGTGTTATCACTCCATTTCTGATATTTTCATTGCCCATTGTCATGTCTGGATATTATGTTGAAGAGTGACAGCATGTGCTTTCAACCAAGACTTGAAAACATGAAGACATTCCTGACTCTTAACCCACACTACTAACCTGTTGAACAATCTAGGAGTTAATAAGAAAAGGCTCTTTCTGTGAATGATTTCTCCCCAACAGCATGAGGCTCAATCAGTTTAAATGGGTCCACAGTCATTTGCAGTAACATTAGCCTACTGTGTATGTAAAACATTTTCAAATAAATGTACTTAACTGTTGCACATGTTTCTTAATTATCAATAACATTCCTTAGCTTGATATGAGAGGCTCAAACACATGAGCAAGATACTTGGGTTTATTAAATTTAATAACTCATGTGTTGATAAACAGAGTTTAACTTCAGTTCTTGCCTGATAGGGAGCCAGTGCAGCTCATGCAAGTAGGAACTAGTGGTAACCTCAGGTGGGAGCAAAAACACCAGTCTAGGTGCACAATTCAGTACAGACTGAAGTCTTTTTTTTAGCAAGTAGTTAGGGAAACTCACAAACACATAATTGCAAAATTCATTTTGACAGGGAAATTCGTGAACAAGGGCTAAGATGCTTTTCTTTTCATGGTATTTTCTGAATGCATAGAGAATACAACTGTGAAAATGGGAAAATATAACAAATCTGTTGATATATCTAATAAATGACAATGAAGAATCCTGGTAGACACCCAGATCCTTCACTGATCTCACAGATTGCAAACTAGCAGTATCACAGTCAAAGATATCAAAATCTCCCATCCGTACTCCCCTGAGGTTTTCCCTTGACAGTCAAATCCTCTATCTTACCATTCTTTAGTTTCAATTTTCATTTTGTCATACAAGTCCAAATATCCAGCAAAAGAGAAGTAAAGCAAAGTTTTGCATCTTAAACATTAGAACTCAGATACAGATTTTGGTCTCATTAGCATAAATCAACCCCCATAGGCATCCAGCAGTAAGGCTAAGTCACTAATACAAACAGTAAACAATACCAGTCCAAGAACAGAACCCCAAGGAACACCATAGGGCACAGGAGACAACTCATTTACAGAAACAGTGACTGCTACTTGATATGACTGACCAGAATGATGTGATTTCTGAAACAAAAATGGAGTATCCCTAAGGCCACAGCCATAAAGACCTCTTATAAGTAATCCACGATCAGTTGATATCAAGTGCAGTGGAGAGTTGCAACAAAATTAGCACAGTCACATTTCCTAAACAAGTGTTCAGTGCCAAATCATTATTAACTTTACACAAAGTTGTCCCAATTGAATGAAATGGTGAGTATGCATACAGAACACAGTCAAACATTACTTTACTCCAGTAAAGGAAACTTGATCAGAAACAGCACTTTCAGTCAAATTAGAAAGGAACACAAGATTAAAAGCAGGTTGCTTGTTTGACATTTTCTCAATCAGTGGAAAGTTTCTTGAGAAGTGGTGCAGCACAACTTCCCCTTCACTTACTACAAAATATCTTGAATTTATGTTAAAAATCCCTTTGTTCACATCCATATTTTCAAATATTCAGGCCTAAGGACTCTTTAGTTTTCTTTATTCTTTTTTTTTTAAAAAACTGGCTGCACACCGTGGCAAGTTGATCCTAAAAGAAATTCAAAAGGTTTTCTTTTTTGATCAAAAGTGTTTCTTTTTAAATTTAGTATAATAAAATTATCTTTTGCAACCACTTTTTTTTACTGCAGTGTATAATGAAGACTTGTTATGATTGTTCACTTTGATGGTGACTGATAGTGTAGTTGTTGCAGCCCCCTACCAAACTAGTGGTTAAATAGTTAACCTGCCGGCCGGCAGTACCACTGGGTACGTCATCAAACCCATTGTGGGGACTGCTGAGCCGGCCTTAGAGCAGTAAGTACCTGAACACCTCACGGTACACATCTACTGGCTTTAGAAGCAGTAAGTACCTGAACACCTCACGGTACACATCTACTGGCTTTAGAAGCAGTAAGTACCTGAACACCTCACGGTACGCATCTACGCAGTAGTTACCAGAACACCTAATCGTACACATCTACTGGCAGTAGAGTATTCTACTGGCTTCTACTGGCGTTAGAGGAAGCGCTCACCGCAGCTCACTGAGTCTGTTGGCCTCAGTTACTTGACGGCCGCATTCAGTGAGCTTGCAGCATGGTGTTTTACAAACACTATTTATCAACTGGTCTTGAAGGCGGTAGGAAGTGCTCACCAGACCACCTTACGGTGTACTTCTACCGGCCTTGGAGAGTATTTAAAGGGCAGGTGATGTCTGTGGACTCACCGCCTACGCTGGTCAACTGTGGGCCAGAGTCATCGGATGCTGTTTTAGTGGGACACTACGTGAAGAAAAGGTTGGAGTGTGACACTGAACTGGGCTAGGACCGTAGTGACACTTAAGGAAGTATGATGGAGTGTAACACTGAGATATGCTATAGGACCGTAGTGGAACACTGAGAAGAAAAGGGTGTCGTGTGACACTGAAGATGGTATGGTTGTAGTGTACATTGAATAGTGTCATGTGACTGGCCTCTGATAAGAAAGACGCTGTGGGTGATAGTGTGCGACGTAGAGACAAGGGTGTCAAGAGTGACACAGTAGAGATATTGTGTATGACGCAGAGAAAAGGGTGTCGTGCGACACGGAGAGTAGGAGTGTCGTGTGACACAGAGAAAAGGGTGTCTAGTGGACACGGTTGAGCAGGAGCGTCATTACACGAAAGAAAGGGTGTCAAGTGACACAGTTGAGAGGGAGCGTCACAACACACCACGGATAAGTGTCGTGAGAGACACGGAGCCTCATAAGGAGTTGATTGTAATTTATTATTATACAAATGTTATTTATAATTTATTATTTTAGCATAGATATATTATTATTTTAAGATGCTAATAATTTATTATTGTAACATGTATATATATTTTAAATACCTCTAGACCAAATATTGATTTTTATATAATATTAAAGATTCATTATTTTAATGTGTATATATATGTATCCCAAACTTTTTATTACAAAATGAGTAAAACAACCATCATAAAAATCACTTTTTTTGTAATAGTAGTTGTTTATTGTTTCTTCTTCATGGTGACTGATAGTGTAGTTGTTTATTGTTTCTTCTTCATGGTGACTGATAGTGTAGTTGTTCATTGTTTCTTCTTCATGGTGACTGATAGTGTAGTTGTTTATTGTTTCTTCTTCATGGTGACTGATAGTGTAGTTGTTTATTGTTTCTTCTTCATGGTGACTGATAGTGTAGTTGTTCATGTACTGCTGTGGTTGTTCAGTGTTTCCTTGTCATGGAGGGGAAACACTGTGCTCAATTGTATTCATCTATTTGTGGTTCCAGGGGTTGAGACTCAGCTCCTGGCCCTGCCACTTCACTGATCGCTACTAGGTCCTCTCTCTCCCTGCTCCATGAGCTTTATCATACCTCGTCTTAAAACTATGTATGGTTCCCGCCTCCACTACATCACTTCCTAGACTATTCCACTTCCTGACAACTCTATGACTGAAGAAATACTTCCTAACATCCCTTTGACTCATCTGAGTCTTCAACTTCCAATTGTGACTCCATGTGTCTGTGTCCCATCTCTGGAACATCCTGTCTCTGTCCACCTTATCTATTCCTTGCAGTATTTTGTATGTAGTTATCACGTCTCCCCTAACACTCCTATCCTCCGGTGTCGTCAGGCCGATTTCCCTTAACCTTTCTTTGTAGGACATTCCCCTTAGCTCTGGAATTAGCCTTGTTGCAAACCTTTGCACCTTCTCTAATTTCTTGACATGCTTGACTGGGTGTGGGTTCCAGTATGGGCCTGGAGATTACCTGGAGAGGGTTTCGGGGGTCAATGCCCCCGCGGCTCGGTCTGAGACCAGGCCTCACGGTGGATCAGGGTCTGATCAACCAGGCTGTTACTACTGGCCGCATGCAAGCTAACGTACAAACCACAGCCTGGTTGGTCAAGTACTGACTTTAGGTGCCTGTCCAGTGCCTTCTTAAAGACAGCCAGGGGTCTATTGGTAATCCCTCTTATGTAGGCTGGGAGGCAGTTGAACAGTCTTGGACCCCGGACACTTAGTATTGTGTTGTCTCTCAACGTACTTGTTGCGCCCCTGCTTTTCATTGGGGGAATGTTGCAGTACTCTCTCAACGTGCTCGTTGCACCCCTGCTTTTCATTGGGGGAATGTTGCATCTCCTGCCGAGTTTTTTGCTTTCACAGGGAGTGATTTTTTGTGTGCAGGTTTGGTACGAATCCCTCCAGAACCTTCCAAGTGTATATTATCATGTCTCTCTCTCTCTCGCCTGCGTTCGAAGGACTACAGATCAAGGACCTTCAACCATTCCCAGTAATTTAGGTGCCTAATCGTGTTTATATGTGCCGTGAAAGTTCTTTGTACACTCTCCAGGTCTGCAATGTCGCCAGCCTTGAAGGGGGCTGTTAGTGTACAGCAGTATTCCAGCCTAGAGAGCACAAGCGATTTGAAGAGAATCATCATGGGTTTGGCATCCCTAGTTTTGAAGGTTCTCATTATCCACCCTACCATTTTCCTAGCAGATGACATACATGTTGTACAGAGTCTTGAATGATTCCATATTGAGGTATTGGAACTCTATTCTTAGGTTTGCCAGATGCCCATATGCTGCAGCAGCTATCTGGTTGATGTGTGCTTCCGCAGACGTGCTCAGTATTATACTCACCCCAAGATCTTTCTCCTTGAGTGAGGCTTGCAGTCTTTTACCACCTAGCCTATACTCTGTCTGTGGTCTTCTTTGCCCTTCTCCGATCTTCATGACTTTGCATTTGGTGGGGTTAATTCGAGGAGCCAGTTGCTGGACCATGCGTCCAACCTGTCCAGGTCTCTTTGTAGTCCTGCCTGATCCTCATATGATTTAAATCTCCTCATTAACTTCACATCATCTGTGAACAGGGACACTTCTGAGTCTATCCCTTCCATCATGTCATTCACGTGTGTATGTGTTCATATAATGTATTATGTGTTTTTATCCTTGCAGCCATCAGAAAGGCTGAGTCCAAATGCTTGGAAGACCATCACTGATATTGTCTTAAATGGAACAGCTTATGTTACCTTGGAGGCTGGTAAACGACTTATTAAAGCAAACCAAGGTTAGTCAGATGTTTTTGATGTCTTCACAATCTTGAAAGTCAGTTTATCCAAATGTTCTTATTACAGTAAAACTAACTTTAGTTTTGCAATTTAACCAAAATTTTGTTATTTATTTTACGCAATTCAGAATATTTACCATTAAAATCTGGTTACCGGATGATTGCAGAGCATAGCGAAACTGGGCCCAGCTAGGTCAGGGTGGGGTGAAGTATGGGTCAGCAGTGTTCCAGTCCACACAAAAGTATTTTGATGTCATTTTGCAGTGCTTATATCTATAATGTTTGAATTGCCTCAAATAACCTTGACCAGTGAGTGAAGTATGGGAGACCCTTGAGTAGAGCGCACTTACATAAAACATTCTGTGATAAGACAGTTAAAAATATTGCAGCATAAATTTGAAGAGAAAGTTGTAAATCCTGAATGGAACTGAGATCTTTTCCCTTTGTCTTGCGATCAGTTATGGGTACGGCCATTGTCTTAATGAAGGATAATTAGTCTTGTTCTTAACATGAATGAACCTCCCACATTATCAGTTTTCCATGTATAAGTGCCCCATATCATGCTCACTCATAACTGTGTATCACTCTTCACCATCTGAAACAGCAAGTAGATCTACAGATTTTTAATTAGTTTCTATTTATTGGATAAATGATGCAAAGTGTTTCCTTGACTGAAGAAGGTAACCCAGAAGGCTCGGAGCAGCACTACAGACAAGGTGTTTCCTTGATTGAAGAAGGTAGCCCAGTATGGTAACAATATTTATGGTTTTTCCCACCTTGCAAGTCAAATATATTTTTTAGTGAACTTCTACACCAATTAGCTTAAAGATCAGTTTTAAACCTTTTAAACCAGTTTGCTTACCTAGAAAATATTTTCAAGTGTACCAGAAGCAAAGTTGTGTTGGGGAAGCAGTGTAGGTGACTGTACAGGATGGTAAACAGAGTACAGGACTGCACACGGCACATTAAACACTCTAAATAGCTAGTGTTACACCATTACACAAAGGCGGAGACCCAACAGATGTAAACAACTACAGGACAGCATTAAACTTGCCTTTACTATACAGAATCCTTGAGAAACTCATACACAAGAGTTTATACTTCTTTATAACATCACAGAGCATTGTCAACCCCAGGCAGTTTGATTTCAGGAGAAACAAAAGCAAAAGTGATGCAATTATAAAAATGCTAGACCTAGTTCACACAGCACTTGAAGAAATGAATATCCACGAGGACTCTTTACTGACCTAAGGAAATCTTTTGATATGGGAGACTAAAGTATCTTACTTCACAAACTTGATCATTATACACTTGCATATATGTATAGTCTTACCTTACTAATAGACAGCAGTACAGTGGTACCTTGACTTACGAGTGCCCCAACTTATGAGTTTTCTGAGTTATGAGCCATTGCTCGGTCGATGTTTTGCTTTGAGTTGTGAGCCAAAATCCAAGTTATGAGCAATCTTCAGATACGCCGCCACTCGCAGGAGATACCGAGGAAATATCAAAAACCTTGATAATAACCAGTGTGTAACATCCTTTCAATTTTGATACCACTGGTAGTGTTATCCTGCCAGAATGTTCTACAATGTATGCCCTAAGTAAAGAGAAACAATTCTGGAACATGTGTAATACATGTTCAACAGGCTGGCTGGTTGGGTGGCCAGCTGGCTGGCTGGCTGGCTGGCTGGCTGGCTGGCTGGGCTAGCTAGCTGCCTGATTTGCTTTGGCTGTCTCTATCTCCATCTGTTTGTATCTGTTTGTATCTGTCTATCTGTGTCTGTCTATCTCTGTCTCACAGGTACACATAAATACAGTGGAACATCCACTTGCGAGCGTGTCCACATGCGAGTTTTTCCAAATACGAGCAGTTGATGGGTTGATTTTTTGTTTCCATACGCGAGCAAAATTTCCATAAGCAAGCTGACCTCAAGGTAGGTTCCTTGACACTGGTGAGGGGCTCTTGCTTTTGATCTAGGGAATTGTATCTCATTTGTTTGTTGGACTATCTTTATATGTATATTCTTCTAAGCTGTTGTATTCTGGGCACCTCTGCAAAAACAGTGATTATGTGTGAGTGAGATGAAAGTGTTGAATGATAATGAAAGTATTTTCTTTTCGGGGATTTTCTTTCTTTTTTGGGTCACCCTGCCTATGTGGGAGACGGCCGACTTGTTGAAAAAAATATTAATAATAATGTACTACATAATAATAATTATAATAATAGACGGCTTCAAAAGGCCGTCACTAGATGGCAGTGTTTACCACAAAGAGGGAGCAGTTGTAGCTGCCTCCACCTGTTACATAATGTCATATTTTATTCATTCTAGAGAATATATCAGGTTTCTATGTTTTTTTGTTGTTTATTATTTCATATTAGATGAACTGTGATAGATAAATAAGCCATAGAGTTGATAGCGAAATATTCAAGGAGTACAGTGGACCCCCGCTTAACGATCACCTCCCAATGCGACCAATTATGTAAGTGTATTTATGTAAGTGCGTTTGTACGTGTATGTTTGGGGGGTCTGAAATGGACTGATCTACTTCACAATATTCCTTATGGGAACAAATTCGGTCAGTACTGGCACCTGAACATACTTCTGGAATGAAAAAATATCGTTAACCGGGGGTCCACTGTAGTATTTTGTCCTGTCTCCAGACAAACTCTTGTCAGCCGTCACTGCCACCTCACATATATAATGACATATTTTATTCATTCTGGAGTACAGTGGACCCCCGGTTAACAATATTTTTTCACTCCAGAAGTATGTTCAGGTGCCAGTACTGACCGAATTTGTTCCCATAAGGAATATTGTGAAGTAGATTAATCCATTTCAGACCCCCAAACATACACGTACAAACGCACTTACATAAATACACTTACATAATTGGTTGCATTGGGAGGTGATCGTTAAGCGGGGGTCCACTGTATATATAGTATAAGGTTTCTATGTTATTTATATTGTTTATTATTTCATATTAGATGAACTATGATAAATAAATAAGCCGTAGAGTTGGTGATAGCGAAATATTCAAGGAGTATTTTGTCCTGCCTCCAGACAAACTCTCGTCGGCCGCTGCCACTGCCGCCACCTCGCATATATGATGACATTTTATTCATTCTAGGGTATATATCTGGTTTCTTTGTTATTTATATTGTTTATTATGTCATATTAGATGAACTTTGATAGATAAATAAGCTGTATAGATGATATTAGCAAAATTATTGAAGTAGTATTTTGTCCGGTCTCCAGACAAACTCTCGTCCACTGCTGACACCGCCCTATCACTACATGAATTAGATATTTTATTCATTTTAGAGTATATATCAGGTTTCTATGTTATTTATATTGTTTATTATGTCATATTAGATGAAGTGAGATAGATAAATAAGCCGTAGAGTTGATATTAGCGAAATTATTGAAGTACAGAATTCCACTGGAACAGATTACAGTGGACCCCCGGTTAACGATTTTAATCCGTGCAAGAGGGCTCATCGTTATGCGAAATAATCGTTATGCGAATGAATTTTCCCCATAAGAAATAATGGAAATAAAATTAATCCGTGCAAGACGCCCAAAAGTATGAAAAAAATTTTTTTTTACCACATGAAATGTTAATTTTAATACACACAAACTGAAAAAGGCATGCACAATTACATGACACTTACTTTTATTGAAGATCTGGTGATGATTGATGGGATGGGAGGAGGGGAGAGCATTATCTTCTTACTGTTTAGAAGGGGAATCCCCTTCCATTACGACTTGAGGTAGCAAGTCCTTTTCCGGGGTTACTTCCCTTCTTCTTTTAATGCCACTAGGACCAGCTTGAGAGTCACTGGACCTCTGTCGCACAACAAATCTGTCCATAGAGCTCTGTACCTCCCGTTCCTTTACGATTTGTCTAAAATGGGCCACAACATTGTCATTGAAATAGTCACCAGCACGGCTTGCAACAGCTGTGTCAGGGTGATTTTCATCTATAAAGGTTTGCAGTTCAACCCACTGTGCACACATTTCCTTAATCTTTGAAGTAGGCACAATGGATTCCACAACTGGCATAGGCTTCTCAGGGTTAGCCCCAAACCCTTCAAAATCTTTCTTAATTTCCATACTAATTCTCACCCTTTTTACCACAGGGTTGGCACTAGAAGCTTTCTTGGGGCCCATGGTCACTTATTTTCCAGAAACAGCACCGAAAACACTGTAATAATACGAAATATTCCGAGTGTATGCTTGGATGTTACCGCGGAGGCTGGCTGGTAAACAATGGGACGGCCGGCACATGTGAGGCTGGCTGAGGGCACATTGGACGCGTCTCGGACGAAAATCGGTAAGCGGGTTTTTAATCGGTATGCGCGGCAAAAATTTTGCGATAAAAGTAATCGGTATGCGGAAAAATCGCTATGTGATGCCATCGTTATGCGGGGGTCCACTGTAATTGCATTTCAATTAATTTAAATGAGGAAAATTAAGTCTGCAAACGAGCAAATCCAGTTGCGAGCAAGGTCATGGAACTGATTAAACTCGCAAGTAGAGGTTCCACTGTACAGTTATTTTTTTTTTTTTTTTTTTTTTTTTTCTCAACAAGTTGGTCGTCTCCCACCGAGGCAGGGTGACCCAAAAAAGAAAGAAAATCCCCAAAAAGAAAATACTTTCATCATCATTCAACACTTTCACCACACTCACACATTATCACTGCTTTTGCAGAGGTGCTCAGAATACAACAGTTTAGAAGCATATACGTATAGAGATACACAACATATCCCTCCAAACTGCCAGTTATACTTCGTGTAAATTACTTAGCATAACCCAAAAAATCCAGACAAAGTGCTATGCTATACTTGTAGATATCAAGCATGACTGGCAAGTAATACACATTTTCACTTGTTCAGGAATCAGAGATAACGACTCTGCATCATGTGTAATACCTGTTGGTTCATGAGCGGCTCTCTCTCTGAGACAGAGAGACAAGTGGAGAGACAGGAAGACAGA